GGTGGATCACTAGGAGTCTGATCTAGTAGTCAGACCCTGACGCTATAGACCCTTACCTAAAAAATACAAAAAAAAAAAAAAAAAAAAAAAAAAAAAAAAAAAAAAAAAAAAAAAGAAAGAAAGAAAGAAAGAAAAAAGAAATCTTCTTTAAAAACCCAATAAGCAAACTAATTATTTGATCTAGATTAAATTGAAATAACAGGACAACTGAAGAATAAAAACTATATTTAGCATTCCTTAAAAAAGAGAGATGAAGGAATAACACATTTTTACAATAAATCATGAAAAAAGAACAAATTATGAAACAAAATCAGGCATAAATGATCTGAGGATGCATAAAAGGAATTTAAAAAACAGAACTTGCAAGCTGTAATGAAAAACTCTATGGCCATTGTAGACTGCACACAGTCTAAGAATTAATTATTGGATGACATTACTGTGGGAAATAACCCATAATGCAATAGAAAGGGATTCAAAAAATAGCAATGGGAAAGTGAGTTACAAAGGACAGAATGAAAAGCTCTAGCTGTCACAGAACTCCCAAAAGGAGGAAAGAGAGAAAATTACAAAAATTGCATAGTGAAGAGACAGTGGTGGTGAACTTATCAAAACAGAAAAAGAGCCCCGTCAAGTGAATCTACTTTCTATACCAAGAATGACAAAACATCAAAACATACAAAATGAAGATACTAAGATTTACCAAAGAAAAAAATTCACCGTCATGGAATAAAAATTATATCAATACTGGCTTTTACCCCATGTACTGGGGATTGAACTCAAGGCTTCACGTGGAGGTTCATCTCTAGCCTTTTTCTCATTTTTAAATTGTCAAGCAGCTTCTTCTACATTGCTCAGGCAGGACACAATTGAATAACACTTTCCAATTGCTGAGGGAAAATAACTCTGAGTATAGAATTCCATATTCTATTCCATATTCTTCTAAGAGAGAAGCTATTATGCAAAGAGTTATGTGAGAAAAAGAAGATTTTATAGTATGTGAATAGTATCTCTTTAAAGTTTTTTTTAAAGAAACAATGGTGATCACAAAATAATGTTGATGCGTTTGAATATTGATCCTTTAAAAAACATTTTTAATCATAAAGGAGTTGATACCAAATTTCTAAACAACACTATAAGGGAAGACGGGAATTTGTTGATGAGTAAGTAAAATGAAGTAATGTGCTTTTCTTGTTTGGAAGGAAGATAAAAATACTAAACTAGCTTTTTATAAAAAAATTTATAGACATACAGGTAGACTAAAAAGTGCCCCTTTTAAAAAACTAAAAAACTGAAATATGATTTATAACTTCCAAATAATGAGACTATAAGTGGGGCGGTGATTAAAAAAACCTCATCAAGTTGGTAGAAGAACAAAACTAAAAAAGCAATTATAAGTAATGGTAAACAACACATGAAATGAAATGGTAAAAAATAAGTCCAAGTATCTTTAACCACAATAAATTATTTCGTTTGTTTTTGGTACCAGGAACTGAACTCAGGACCTTGCGCTTGCCAGGCAGGCGTTTGTGCCAGGAGCTATATCCCCAGCCCACCACAATAAATGTAAATGAATTAAACTGACCTGTTGAATGTTAGACAGTATTAGATCGCATAAAGAAAATAATGTAGCTACATGCTGCTTAAAGTGGCACAATAAAGTGCCACAGAAAACTGAAATACAGGATAGAGATTCTGCTTCTGGAAATGGTACAGAAACTTTTAACCAGACTGTTTCCTCCAACATATTCTGGGTAGTGTATGAAGAAAATTGCAACTGTCTGAAGGCACTGGAGAGTGGCCAGAACACAAGCAGACACTGGGGAGACAAGCGCTGAAATAAGGGAATCCTGGGCAGGCGTCATTTAAAAGCCTTTGCCTGAATACAAGGATGCTAGAACTTCAGAATGAGGGGCGCTTTTGCTGGCCTGGGGTGTCAACAGGCAGAGTATGGGGATGCCTAAGCAACCTGAAAAGAAGAAAGGATCCTTCAAGCAGGCCTAGAGACACAAAACAGGAGTCTTAAAATGTATGACAAATCTCACTTCAAATTTCAGCTGACTTTACATGTGCAGAGGAGTCTACAAGGGGTGCTAGTCATGGAAAGCAACAGCTGAATGGTTGAAAGCTGACAGAAATTTCGGCTGCTGCCTTTGGCAAGACAGAAATATGAGTCCAGACAATTGTCTGCTGACACAAAAATGAACGCTCTTCAGTTGAATGTAACACAATCCAGCATCTCCACAATGATTAATTCCCAATGTCTTGCATGTGATAAAATATTACTAAATATGTGAATGTCTGTGGTTCTTTTAATCCTGATACTAGAAATATCCATCAACAGAAGAATGGAAATAAATTGAAAATCACTTTGTGTGTATGTGTGTGTGTGTGTGTGTGTGTGTGTGTATGTGGTATACCAGGGATTGAACTCAGGACCCTGCACTTGCCAGGCAGGTGCTTAGTCTCCTGAACTATCACTTGGGCCCAATTTGAAAATCACTTATAAGGACCACTTACTCAGCCACTAAGAGGAATGAATCACTGATAAAACACCATGAACAAATTTCAAAGAAGGGATGAGTGAAAACACAAAACACAGAAAAGTCAATAAAGTATGAGTCCCCGTGTGATGTTTGAGCAAAGGCACAGAGACATGAGGGAGCAGGCTGCTGCACCAAAGGATCTGTGCTCTGAAGAACTGTGCTTGTCAAGAACTGTGTAGGAGCTCAGATTTTACCCATCTTACAAGATAAGTTAGTCTGCTGCTGAGTCACGGGTGCTGGCTGTGATAGTTAAGTGTGGTATCAATTTGAATAAGAAATACCTGGCTGATTGGTTTAGCATGGTTCTGTGTGCCTGGGTGACTGAGTTACTGAAGAGGGAAGACCCACCCTAGACATGGTTGGCACCAACCAAGAGGCTTGTAGCCTTGATAGAATAAAAAGGGAAAGAAGAAAGAAATTTCACTTCTGCTTCTTTGAAGGAGCCCCAATCTTTGCCATCGCCTTTGGGCATCCATCCTCGGGCTTCCCACACAGGCTGCAGTCTTCCTGCATAGACCTTTCATCTTCCTGGTGTGGACTTCTACAGGGCTCTTCAGTGAGCTCCACGCCCCCGACTTTCGACTGGATCCTTCAGATCTCCACCACACAGACAATTCTTCTGTATTCTCCCATCTTTGACACTTTGCAGATGTGCACTGTTGTGCCTCCCTCATATGTAACATAGGTATAAAATTCTGTTAAATCTGTTGCTCTAGTGAACCCTAATATACTGGCAGAAGACACAAAACCCCCATGTCAGAGAACAAAGACCACTCACAACACTACAGGCAACATGAGCATCACACATCCACTCTTGCAGGAGTGACGAGGGGCACACATGAATCCTGGGCATGCAGCACATTTGTTTTAGAACTGAGGAACACCAAGCTAAGGGAATGTAGGTTTTTTAAATTTTTTTTTTTTTTTTTTTTTTTTTTTTTTTTAATACTAGAGACTGATCTCAGGACCTCTGCACAGAGCTACATCCAGGGTTCCACTAAGTTGCTATGCCTGGGCTGGGGTTGTTGAACCTCCTGCTTCAAGTCTCCCAGAGTACTGGGATTACAGGCATGAGCCGCTATGTCCAGAACAGAAACCTGTGTCTTTTATAAAGGGCAGTAGATTTGCTTGCCCTTTACTCTAAAAGGAAAAATTGTCTTTACAATACAGAACAGAAAACAACCTTTTGCTCTAGAAGGAGAAACTTGCCTTTTGCTCTAGACAATGCATTATTAAACATCTTTGAAAAGATCATATCTTTGTTTGCAACACAAGCAGAAACAGAAACCTATGACATAGTCTCCAATGGTGGGTTGTGCTAATTAATACATTTGTCAGTTTACTGAAGCTTATTGGCCATGAGAGTGTATGCCTGAAGTCCCAGCTGAGACTTTAGTGGCTAAGGCAGGAGGCTCACAAGCTTGAGTCCAACTTGGCAATGTAGAGTGAGACCCTGTCTCAAAATAAAAATTAAAAAGGTCTGAGGACATAGTTTGGCGGTACAATGCTTGCTTGTCTGACATGCATGAAGCGCTGAGGTCAATCCCTAATATTATAGAAACAATGACTGAATCTTACATAAAAAGAACTAGGCATGGGAAAATGAAGGATAGCAGTAAAAGCGGTTTCTTTCATTTTAGCACATCCTTTAAAATGGACAAGTATGGGAGAAGCCAGCCTGCCTTCCTCGAGTGGAGGCTGACCCACGGTCCCCAGCACACTATTCCTTCGGAATACACCACGCTAGGCTACACAGAGATTAGGGAGCTATCTTCTTACTTCTCATTACTGCATCTTTGGCACACTGCACACAGCTCCTCACTGCTTTATTTGTTGAATACACTTGTAAAAGCAAGGTCAGGAAACGGAAGTGATGCTTCGACCCTCAAGGCACAGTCATCCTCATCCTGCTGCCAGCTCTTGCTTTCCCTTCTGCTCCGTTATCCTTTCCTCACCTTCCCCTTCCCTCTCATGAGGTCACAGAATGGAATGAAATCAAATCTCCAGCACATACTTTATTTAAAGGATACAGTTTATAACACTTTGTTCTTTAAAAAGTTGGTGAATGAAAGTGAGGTCAATGAGTCATGCTTCCTGAATATGAATCCCAGCTATGACTTACTCGTGCCCTGGCATTTCTGTGTCTCCTGGTGTAATTGCACGGCCTACTCAGATGGCTAAATGGGAAAATGGAGTAGTTTCTAGTGCTTAGAACAGCAGTGTTTTTTTTTTTCGAACTATTTTATCTCTAATGACCTGGCAATAATTCAAAACATGCTTCCTTTAACGGGGATGCCACCATTACTGCCACACACTGCATTATCAAAGGCAATGAAGAGACTGGATTCCAAAGATGCTGATGGTAAGAAGCCTTCAGGGCTCACGGACTGACGGCTGGTTATGGAGTCTCGAAGGGCAGCAGGAGGCAGACGAAACAGGAGACAGGAGGAACCTTCCTCAGAGGACAGGGCGCGGCTGCTGGGTCATGAGCACCTTGAAGCGCTTCTTGATGGTGATTCGGTGTCGCGAGTACTTGTCATCTGGGGAGAACCGAGCAGGATGGGCTGAGCATGTCTGTTGTCCCATTGGGTCAAATTTCTTCAATGTATACACCCGGTCTCCCTGCTCGTTCAAGTAATTACTGGAGAAACATTGCCACGCTACTCTATCACTCCTCCGCCTCAGCTCAGAACAGCAGTGTTATAGTGCAACAGCGAACAGAAACACTGAAAAGACACCCAGGACTTGAAGGCAGATTTATGTTGAGGGTTGCTAATTGGGATCATTCCCAGAATATCAGGCTCTGGTTTCTGGTGGTCTGGGGCTTTTATGGGATAAGCAAGCAGAATGGCATGTCAGCTGGGGATTGGCTTACACAGTGTCATCACAGTGATCAGTGACCCAGCTATGGGTCACAGTGATCAGCATTTGTAAGAGACAGGAACAACCAGATTTGGAACAACTAACAAACTGAAGTCTACTGGCTGGGGGAGCATTTTCTGCTACAATAGTAACATATGTTCCTATCACTTAAAAATCACTGGGGTCCCTTGCTTGGAATGGGCCAGCTGCATGCCTAGGTTTACAGCAGCACAACTTTTAATAGCTAACCGTTGGAAATAACTCAAATGCCCATCAGCTGAGGAATGGATAAAAAAGATGTAGGGTTTTTTTTTTCTTTTTAATACAATGGAGTACTCTGTCATAAAGAAGTATAAATATGAGACTTTTACAGGTAAATGGACACAACTCAAGACCACACTCATAAGTGAATTACATCAGACCCACAGCTGTAAACACCATATTGGCTCACTAGTGAGAGAAAATGAATGACTAAATAAGACCCCAAATTTACAATAGAGATTCTAAATTAAGAAGAAAAGTAAAATTGGGTTGAGGAAAAGGGAATGAAAGATGGAAAAAGGAAGAAATACACAAATGAGATAATTAAGATAGTTATACAGCTAATTTCTTTTATTTGATTGAAAAGGCTTATGCAAATACTATTTGAACAATATTTCTTGCCCATACCTTGTACTCTGAATAACTACAATGAAGATAACAATATGTAATATATTAGTTATTATTGTATTAGTTATTACTATCCTACTATTGTTTTTTTCTACTAGCCTGTTGCTTATTTATTTATTTTTTCTACTATCCTGTTCTGAAATTCTGCTTTTTTGTTATTTTATTTTCTTTCTTTCTCTCTTCAGAATAAAAGAAGCCCACTAATTTGGATATGGACTATAAATCAAGCACTAATACCATTGCATAAAGCATGAACAAAAACATAAAACTGAAATAAAAATAGGAATTCAAAAAATGAGAAGCAAGATTTGAGTTTGAAAAGCAAATACACATAAGGCTTTTTCCCCAAACGCACTCTAGCTTAAACAAGTTTCAAGCACTACATGTGATTTGATATTCTGCTTGCTTTCACTTAATAGTAAGCAATATTCCCATGCTATCCTAGTTTTGGACGATTTTTTGTTGCATAATATGCAATTGGTGCAAGTGTGTTTTTTCACTTGTGAATGTAAAACATTGATTTTAAAAATGTTGACATAACAGTATATAGAGAAGCTATTATAAACGCACATAGTGTTGTCTATAGGTGCCAGGTTTACCTGTTTAAGTACACTGGAAGTTAAACTGTGGTTAAGACTTGCATCTTCATCCCTGAAGAAGCCCACTGTAGTTATGTATGGTGAGACTGGGATGCATAACTGTGGTTCAACACTTGGATCAAGTCATGACCAGTTTTAATGCAAAAGGACTCTGCACACATTTATCAATTCTGTTACCTGCACAGCCACCCAGTGAGTCACTAACATACAGAAACATGCATCAGGAGCAGAACTGCCAGCCATGCCCTGTGTATCAGCACCTCGTCGCTCCTGAGCAACAGCGCTCACATCCCTGAGTCTGTGAACAGTCATGCGCTTCCCACTCACCCTCGTAGGAGGTGGAATGACTCAAGTACAAATGCAACATATGAGAGACAATTCCTTACAAAAAGTCACCAGTTCAAGCAAAGTATTTTACAGAATTTACACTACGTTCAAAATGCCATAACAACTGCCTTTGCTTAAGCTCTCCCCACATATCTGTTGAACCAGCTGGATGTCTTTGGGCATCAAGGTGACTTTCTTGGTGTGGTCAGCACAGACTGGGATCTTCAAGTAACCACCAGGTATGCTTCACTAGCCCCCTGAAGGCCCAGGGGCTGCATTCCAAAACCTCAGGTCAGTTTTGAAATTCTGGGCAATCTCTTTCACCAAGCTCTGGAAGGCAGCTTCTGAATGAGAAGCCTTGTCAACTTCTGGTAAAGATGAATCTCAACAAAGGACCAAACCACTCTGCTCTGTGTGATCCGAAATCTTCCTCCTAGCCACTGGCCTTCAGTACTGTGGTTAAGATATGAATATCAGTGCTGCCTGGGTACAAAGCTCTGCTTTCCATTTGCTGACAACGTGACCTGGGGAAAATGTTACTTTCATCTCTACTTTATCTGCTTGTTTATAGCATTACTTATAAGATAGGACAGTGACTCAGTCTTCGACCACTTGCCTAACATGTGTGAGGCCTTGGATTTGATCTTCAGCATCAGGAAAATAAAATAGTACTTACCTCAGAGGGTTCTGAGATGTACATTGTCTTATTTATTTATTTATTGTTGATGTTGATGTTGCTGTAACAGCACTGCGCTATGAATCAATTAAAACCTCTAGAAGGCTGCCCCATGAATGCATGAGACTTTGGAGGGACATTTAGATGCAAATAATAAAATATACAAAGCAACCAATGACTTCCTGATAAAAAATGGGGTCAACCGGGGCTACAAAGCGAGCTCAAGGCTAGCCTGGACTGCATAGGGAGATCCTGTCTCAAAAAGACAACAAACAGACCCAGTCCTAGTCCAGGCCTGGTAAGTGTGTGGGAGAGCTTCCAGCTACCCTGCGCTGGCGGGACCTACTACTGATCCCAGCCCAGGGGCAGCATGGGTGAGACACTCTTCCACCCCCCTTGGAATTCCCCCCACCACTCCGCAGCACCTCCCCCACCACGCCCAATGAGTAGGAATTTCTGCCGCGTTTCAGGAACCCCCAGACCCATCCTAGCCCAGTCCCAGTGAGTGTGTGGGAGAGCTTCTGGCTACCCTGCACTGGCGGCACCTAGTACTGGTCCCAGCCCAGGCACAGCATGGGTGAGACCTCCCTTGGGACGCAGCTGCAATCCGTGCAGAGAGTGCAGACGATAGAACCACCCAGCTAGTCCAGGAGCATAAAATCTTGCCAGAGGGGCATAACAGGTTCACCCCCAAGGGCAGCAGCAGGAAGGAACTAAGCACAGCAGCCAGACCCAAGCAAGGCACAGCTGGATAAATCCAAACTCTGTAGATCTGAACCTGAACTACAATATATGCTAAGGTTATAACTACAACGAAGATCTACAACAAAGGTCAGAAGACAGTGCTACACAAAATGATGAGAAGGAAAAAAATGCAACCTCAGAACCCAAGCCCACCCGTAACAAGTGCAGAGGACACTAACACAGAACAAATTGGGAACCACACAGCTGAAAGCAATGAATCAATGGCTTCTGAAATAAAGCTGTAGAAAGGTATAGAGAAACTCAGATTGGAAACAAAAAAAGAAATCCCTGAATTAATAACATCTGCAGTAAAGAATCAAATGCAGAAACATATGGAGGAAACCCAATGCCCACCCAGAACAAGTGCAGAGGACACTAGCTCGGCTCAAATGCATGAATTAAGAGCATCAATAGTAAATAAGCAGCAGTAGAAAGTTATAGAGGAACTCACAGTGCAATTCTTTTCTGAAATAAAAAAAGAATTCTCAGAACTCATAGCATCTGAAGTAAAGAAGCAACTACAGAAACATAGGGAGGAAACCCAATCTGAAAAACATACTGCAGTAAAAGAATTTATAACTGCTTCTAAAGACATTGATAAAAAAAATAGAGGAGATTAGAAAAATGATGGATTCCCTGAATGAGCAATACAGGAAAGAAATAGATCGCATGAAGCAGAGTCAAAGAGATATAGAGGAAATTAAAATCTCAATCACAAGCTTGCAAAACCGATTAAGTGAAAGTGAAGACAGAATTTCAGATCTTGAAGATGCTGGTGCAGCTAGTGAAAAGATAAGAAAGGATCTCTTAAAAACAATGAGGATGCCAGAGCACAGGCCCAGCGAGTGAGTGAGACGACCCAGGCCGCAGGATCCTGAATAGACCCAGAGCGCAGGCCTGGCGAGTGAGTGAGACAACCAGGGCCTGGAGGGATCCTGAACAGACCCAGAGTGCAGGCCTGGCGAGTGAGTGAGACCTCCGGATCCTGAATAGACCCAGAGCGCAGGCCCAGCATGGAACCCTTCAGCAGAACTCCCTGCAAAGAGGCTAGAGGCAAG